AGTAACTTATTGATAATTACTTTATAGTATTGTAAATAATTTTCTAATATTGTAAATATAATGGTATTTTATGAATTTTTAACTATAGAGTACATAGAAACTAATAATTAATTTAGTTATCTCTAGAAAAGATATTACTTGACTATCTATCGAATTCCATAACAATAGTGTGTAGCTAACTTCATGAAGTTTTACTACATATTGTAGGTCGACCTGTGAGGTGTTGCAGAAGACAAGATGTTGTCGAGATTAAGTTTTCGTAACAGTAAGATAAATTCTAAATAAAATAAATTGTACTTATAATATTGTAAACATTTTATACATTATTAATCATATATTATTCTGATATCATATTTCTGTTATCGACAAATTTATATTGATTAACTTCACTGTCATTATGTAATAATGTAATATCACTTTTATGGTATTTTGATTTTAAAATATAATTATATAAATTTATTTATTATAATAATAACAACTTATGTAATATTTTTAAGCTAAATTATAAAATAAATTTATATTTAACAGTCTAAATTATAATTACTTTTTTAGTTAATGTAAAATTTTAAATAGTAAATAAGAAATGTTTCTGAATTTTCCCATTATTGTAATTTATTTCATAGTTTCTTCGCAAGTGAAGGCTATAGGCACTTGTGGAATTCAAACAACGGCAGTAACATCATCTGATGGACCACGTCCAAAACGTCCTGTAGAGGCATCACCAGTTAGGATGGGATTTATTCCAGATGAATGGTTTCAATTTTTCTATCCTAAAACTGGGGCATCAGGTAAGTTGATAACTTTTTAATATACTCATTTATTTTTTTATTGTAATATATAATTTTTAACTATTCATAAAATGTAATTTTTATGTTTAGGTCCATATGTATTTTTAACAACTGTTTCAACATACTTATTATCTAAGGAATGGTATGTTTTGGAACATGAATATTATGGTGGACTTTCATTACTTTCTATTATTCTATATGTACATTTCAAATTTGGAGACAAAATTTCAGCATATTTCACTAAAGAAATTGATATGGTAGAGGAGAGCCTTAATAATAGTAAAAATGAATCTATAGCTGAACATCAGGATGCAATTGATAGTATGGAAAGAGAAAAGTGGCGAACTGATGCACAACTAATGATTTATGATATAAGAAAACAAAATATTTGGATGCAGTTAGAAGCTTGTTATAGGGAACGTTTAGCAACTGTTCACAAACAAGTAATATGCTTATATTTAATGTATTTTTTCTTTTTTGATATTAACATGTAAAAAATTATTATAAAATTGTTAAGTTATCAAAAATGAGTCAATTGTATTATTGTAAAAATTTATCACTAATAATTTTATTACAAATGTATATATTTTCTTTATAGGTTAAAACAGTTCTTGATTATCATGCCCAACTAGATACTATTAATCGTAGAATAGCTCAAAAACACATGGTACAGTGGATTACGATGAATGTATTAAAAGCTATTACAGCTGAGCAAGAGAAAGAAAGTCTTCTACAGTGTATCAAAGAACTAGAAACTCTTTCTGCAAAAGCTTAAAATTTCATACTAAACCAGATGAAATAGAAGTACTATTAGTTATCTGGATTAGTTTATTGTAAAAGATAATGAAGATATTATGCAAGAGAAAACGTTTAAAACTTGAACTAACTAAACTATTGTCTATCAGTATACTTCAAGATTAATAAATGTCATTAAAAAATAATATTAAATTGTGTTAATATTTTTATTCATTTTATTATAATTAAAAATAAAATGTGTGTATATATATGTTACATCTATATAAGTTTAATTTAAATAATTTTTTTAAATAAATTTTAATTCATTTTACTTTACAAGATAATGGATATACATATAGCAATTTCCACATTTATAGTTATCTTATAGGTACCTTATAAATTAATGATACTTATTTAAGAAGTGATGTTTGATTAAGTATTTCTTATTTAAAATTAGATATAGCATGATAGAACTGTAATGAAGAACATAATAGCGTATAATGATATAAACAAAAAATTATATCAGACAAGGTAGATAAGAAATTAATAATAATCAACATTTGTTAAATCATTGTAATATTTTTTATTAATTAAATTCAAAGTAAAAACAAGTAAAATAGATATCTTTTAAATAGCTATATATAATATACATATATACGTATTCTATTTTTTTTAGGTTAAGTTACTATAGTTTGAGGACATGAATTTTGCGAAGTGTTAAACGTCATCACAGTCATAACAAGTGTCTTTCTTTATTTTAATCTGAAAATGGCATGGTTGTCAGGTCTTGCTGACAAGGCAGAAAATTTATTGAATAAAATAGACAAAAACACTGCAGCAGTTTTAAATAAAGATAGATATGAGATACCACAATCTCAATTAACACATGTTACATGGATTCCTTCTGAGTCATGGTAAAAAGAATTGATTACTAAAAATTTGAAACGATTTAGACACAATTCAAGTTTTTTAAAGTATTATCTGCCTATATGGATAAAAATATATCATCTTTCTTAAACATAAATTAATCTCTATCTTTTGTCAATCTTTATTTATATTATTAATTATTCACTAAAACACAATGGTACATTTGATATATTTCAGTGTTAATACACAAGATGGCACAATTTTGAAATCTACTACAGAATCACCAAAAGAATTTTCTTATGTTCGCTCAACATCGAATCTTTCTTCATTGACAACAAATTCTGTTATGTCTAGAGATGAAGAGCTTTTTACTTTTTTAAATACACCAGATTCAAGTCCAAAAAAGAATATAGCAGAAGTTTCAATGTCATCACCAACACCATCACTTGTGGTTAATCATCCAACAGATATTACAGATTCTATATCAGACTTATCAATTCATAGTGGCCATACTAGTCCAAGTTCTATGCATACCTCTGTAGATGTTCCAGATAATTTTAATAATGACAATGCAAATATAAACAATGTTAATTTTTGTAAAAATGAGATAGTAAATACACTAAATAACGAGATAATGGAAAATCAAACTTCTGGTATTGTTTTGAATAACGGTAAATTCAGATGTTGAATGTATTCAATTTGTGTAAAATCAAAAGATTAAAACATCTTCAAATTTATTTCAGGACATAATACTATAAAGGAAAATTCAGATACTATGCAACAAGAATATGAGTATGATGTGAAACAGGAAAATATGGAAATAAATAAATTGATGAATTCACCAAACAATAAATACATAAAAAAATATTTAAAAGAAGTAGAAAGAAATTTAGAAGAAAGGAATGAACTACTTGGAAAACAAGAAACAGATCATCAGAAAGAAATAATAGTTTTGAATGAAAAATTACAATCTCTATGTACAGAAAAGATACAGTTATCTAAGCAAATAGTAGAATTACAATCTGTTTTAGAAAGAAGTAGGTTAGAATTAAACTCCACTAGATCTGACTTAGAACAACATAAAGCTAGAGCTTTGAAAACATTACAAGAAAAAGAAAAATTGATAACAGAATTAAGGTGTAATGAAACCACAGGAATGGATGATACAACAATCATGGAACTAAATCAGTTAAGGTAAATATAAATTTTAAATTCAACATAGATAAATATTTAATTAATTTTCTTTTAACATTAAATGGTAGACAAGAGCGCGATATACTTAGAGAAGAAAATCAGCAGTGTTCAGAACAATTGAGAATAGTGCATGAAGAGTTAATGAACGCTAATGTGAAACTGGAAAAAATGAGACAAAAATCTGCTGAAACCAATGTACAAGCTCAAGAAATTTTTGCCACAGAAAGACGTAGAAGATTAGACGCAGAAGAAGATGCAAGATTACATTCAGATGTATATCAAAATTTTATTTATATTTCTTGTATGTATTGTATACAGTAGTATAGACTAATTGATTAAGGATTTATTTTAGGAAATAAGATCGTTAAAGGACGAATTAATTCGTCAACGTAATAATTATACGACACAGTTACAAAAAAATGATTCTGAAATTACTCGTCTTCGAATGCAATTATCTGCAACTTCAACACCAAATAGCGAAGTAGAATCGAGATTGGCATCTCTAACACAAACATTGGTTTCAAAACAACAAGCATTAGAAAATTTAACAACCGAAAGAAATGCTTTAAGATTACAATTAGAAAAAGTTGAAGTAAGTCAATTAATAAAAGATGCTTTTAGGACAAGATAGAGTACTAAGTATAACAAGGATATCCTTTTTTATAGCATGAATTTAAAAATAGTCGACGTAATGTTTCTTATAATAGCATAAATGACACAGATGATGCTAAAGCTCAGGTACCGACATTTTTAATAGAAACCCCATTTGATACTGGAGTTACAAGAAGGGTAAAAAGAGCCTACTCTTCGTTGGACGCTATTAGTATTCGAACAGGGGTATTTTTAAGAAGATATCCTCTTGCTAGGATTTTAGTATTAATTTATATGGTAAGAATATTTTAACTTACAATTATTGTAGTTTTAGCAAAGGATAATTAAAATTAGTATCTAAACTAAATTAAACGCTAAAATAATTGACAAATGTATTTATTGTAATTGTTAACAGAGATTTAAGTTTTATATCTTCTGTTTTTGTTTTTTTACAGGCTTTACTTCAATTTTGGGTTCTTATAGTGCTTCTGTCACAATCACCAGAAGCACATTAATGTTTGATATTTACGATAAATGTAATAGAACATTTTTGTAAATATTACATTGAGATGGTGCACATATAATATTGCTAATTACTAATTAAATCTGTAATTTTTTAATGTCCTTTATAAAATATTACATGGTGTATTATATAATATATGAAAATTTTATTTCCTGATACATAAGTTATTCGTTTTAAATATATTTAAATGATCATTTTATCAAATAGTGTTTGCACTATATGTATATCGTGTTGATCAGTGTAGTATATACCTTTGTATGAAATTGTTACTAATATGGAACAAAAATTCTATATTTGCAATTAATAATGAAATATTCTTATTTATTCAAATCATTTATTTTTTCACTATACAGAGAAATAGATATAATACTACAAAGGTATTAAATATAATGTATTTAATTCAAATTAATCTAAATAAATAAATAAATAAATAATTAACTGCAATATGACTTTTCCATATCAAGCAAAATAAGAATTTCCAAATTAAAATGAACCATGTTATATATAAAGACAATTTTCTAATAACTATAAATTTTTTAAATATTGTAATGAGCAATAACGTTTGGATGATTTGGAAAAACAGTTTCAGTTTACAAGTTAATAGTGAATTTACCATTTTATTATTCTTTATATGATTTTAATTTTATACTCGTTGATATAAATTTAAACTACCTTACTAAGCATAAGTAGCCAAATGCATGTTAATGTCCGTTAATATTATGGAATTGAACGTAATCACAGGATTATATATTGTTGCAAAGTATGTTTAAAAGAATAATTTACCAAAAGTTTTTACAGGTTGAGATCATTTCAATGTATGCCTAATAATTTATTAATAGTCTTAGATTTCAGTTTTTTTAAAACGTGTTTTACATGTATCATTATAAAAAGCAGAAGTACCTCGGTGTCCTAATCAATTATTATTCATTATTTTTACATTCTTCGCTATGATTGTTAACATTTGATTTGGTTGATCCTTATCACTACGCATTGCTATGCTACATTGAACCAAAAGAACCTGATATGCCATGTGGGGACAGAGGTATGCAAACAAACAAAATTACATCATTTACATCTCTGTTATTATCCAGATATATATTTGACGTTCGAGATGTCTCATTCGTCTCGTTGTTCGCATTTACACGACATGAAACGTTGATCGAATGATCTCGAAATGTTAACAAAACGGTTAGCAGTTTCTCTCATTGACCGATCTAACGTTTAATGTCATGCCTCTGTTGAAAATTATGAAAGTACTACTAATCTATCGTTGAGAATATTAATTCGAAATCTACGCTATTCTATACGAGTTACAATTTTATTTTATAAAGATAGACAATATTATCAAATGCTTTCGGAGAAACACTGTACGAAATTTCGTACGCTGATCTAATTCGCGTGTAACGATTTGAATGACGCTTAAGCTGAATAAATTATAACTATGTATATTGCTCTAGTAATCAAGAAACAGCGTACATGATTCATAATATACTCTTTAGGCACGAGTTTTACGATTAATCGATTTCTTTGCACGATGGTCAATATCCGGTTTAAACGAGAAAAATAAAATTAATTAATAATTCGTATAATTATATTTTATTTCATTATTTCATTTAATTAAACAGAAGAAAAAATATTAAAATATTACTGTAAGATTATTCGAATATTTATGTAACGAATAATGCTCAATATGTTCGAAATATTCGAATGCAGGACGAATTTTCATAGTTCTGTGATTACGTCGATTGTCTGCCAAAATTTTACAGATAAATTAGCAAAAATTGAAGTTACTACGCGTTCCGAATATTTTTCCACATTTGTACAGAGTATATAATAATTTTTCGAATAAGTCAAAAATATTTAGTTTACGATTTACGCGGTTTCTGAGATACGATACAAACGTTGCGAATCATCGATGTTGAAATCCGCTTATTCTTTTTTTTGTCCATATTATCTTCGATATCATACATTTTATAGAGAACGACTGAAGAAATATACCGATATTCTCGTTACGATGTGTTCCGTCGTTTTATTAATTTCTAGCGTTCCATCTTTGCCGATCCCACACGAGTCGCCATTTTCTCTACAATTAGCTCTCCGTTTGGCAAATCGATTTCTCCACAAGGATCGCGTGTATTCTTTGAGTAATCAGAGTTTCTATTCTCTCCATTTAATTGCATGTTCTAATCAGTACGCGAGTTAATCTAGCCTTGAGATTCACCGGAAACCATTTCGAACTCGAAGATCGCTGCACGTACATCCACAGCGAATGGTTTTGATTGTCTAACTTGAAAACAACGAAAAGTTGCAGCAACAAAGAAGTAACAGGGAAGCAACTTTTAACTCTGTTACGACATCGTTGGATCATCTTCAAACGAATCATATTTCTCTTTTCTTAAAGAAGATATCCTAATTTCAAGGTAAAAGGAAGAAAAGATTTTTTTTTGGGATATTTCAAAAGTTGCAACAGAGTTGAAGAGGAACCACATTGCTTCTGTACTGTCTGACAATAGACTGTTTATGATATTTTGGTAAAATCAAGAAAATGGGATAAGATTTTTCCACTATTTTTAGCATTCTTTTGGCGCTTCTGTGTACGCATGATTTGCAGGATAACTGAATAAAGTTTTCCGCAAAAAAGACTCTGATAGTCTGCGAATTTGGAGAGATTGGAAGTGATAACAGAGAAAAATGGAATTGTTACGATATATCTCGCGAGTGAGACAATTTAATCCTGCTACTATCCAAACGATACTAATCGGTAAATTTCAGTGGAAGAATAACATTCTTATGAGGAAATGTGTTAACAAGAAAATGCTTATGATAATATAGACGCTGAAACGATAAATCCAAGTCGAAAGGATTTATTATTATTATTATATATATATAATTTAGCACGAGATTTTGTAAACGATATTCTCGAAATATTATGATTAGTACACGATCACAACTTGCTTTTTACAGATCAGCGGAATTAGCATTGCTTTTAAGTTCGGTTCTCCTTATGAAATATGTCAAAATATATGTATAACATATGCATATATATCACCCACGATCGATAAATTAAGAGGTTCGATATTTGAAAACTATTCGACAAACCTCTTTTGAAAAGGTACGCTAATTTTTTGTGTTTTCTTACTTTTATCATGCATTTTGCATTTAGGAGATTAAAGGTATTTAACATGCAGATTAATGTATATCCGTGTCACTAGATTGTGCTTGTTACTTTAGTAACATAGATAAGGTATTATGTAAGGGATAATTCTATTTCACTCTATCAACGTTATTTATCAATGATCTGCTTTTCTTATTGTAAATATTTTTTGTCTATTAAACTTTTAAGCTAATATTTGCTATGATAAGTCTCTATGTTGGTTATAATATTATTTGTAGAATATTTGTCCGAAACGAGACGAAAATGGATGTTCGTTTTACTATATACTTAATCTGCAAATACCTTTTCAATAAAGAATCGATTAATTAAATCGAACGTATAATACGCGACGTAAATGATAGCATACACTATGATTTTTAAAATCTCTCGAGTCTAATGCAACGCATGCAAATTTTACATAGCATATAAAATATCTCTCCTTTAATAATACAGAAGATTAATCACAGTTTACATCTTTTTCTATAAATCTGACTTATGTAATTATGTGAAAAACCATTTGAGACAAAATGGTAGCACAGATACGATTTTATTGTTGAAAAATGGAAAGAAACTACAAAAATTGCAAACATTACATACCATTTAAATTTAGAAAAAAAAAAAATGAATACGAAATATCGATTTTTGGTATATTTACGAAGATATTTCGGAGATAGTAATTTTTCCCAATATTTCTGTTATCAGCATTATATAATACTAATCTTCTCCTGTAAAATCAGATTTGGTTTATAATCGTATGATTTTTCTCAGCCAAGATTTACCATTTTGAAGTTACTGAAGAAACCCTGAAAATTATAGTTCGTGCTATCATTTTGTTACGTACTGTAGATCGACCAACGAAACAATTTTGTAAAATCTGCAGTGTCTAGATCGAAAAGCTTTTATTCCTTAATTCTATGCGATGCGATCGTAGATTCCTTAAAAATATATTCGTCGATCGAAAATGATCGATCATCTTGAGACAACGCCGCCATTTTGTTCCAAAAGGACGTGCAACTTCTAATCCAAATAATCGCGAAATTGTTGCTTCGTAAAACGAGAGAAAGAGGCAAAGTTACACGTGCAAATACAAATTTCACAGCCACCAATTTGCAGGGCATTTTTTTCGTTTTCTTTCATTTTCTTTTTTCTTTTAAAATTCTAATCGATTCTAGTTCTAATGCAATTTCGCCTAGACAAGCTTTGCGTCTAAAACTCGGATGCTAGAATCGAGTGTGAAGCAATCCTGCAATTTTATCATTTGTTAAGTCTTGCGTTAACACTCTGTCTTCAGTGTAGCATCGAAAATTGTTAATAATTAATTGTGTCAATTATTCGTAATAATTCTACGTCTTAATATGTTACAAGTTACGTCGGTCTTGTACCATTATACCTTTTTACAATCCTCTGAATAGCTCGTTCACATATAAGCTTACTTCAACGAGTAAAATTAAAGCTGAAGAATCTTCTCTCTATTATTATTTAAAATATTGCAGTTTTCTGTTCTATGTATTTTGTGTTCATTAAGCGAAACATCTTTTTTGTTTTTTCTCTTAAGGTGTAACTAAGTGGTACAGGTAGTAAGAGGTAAATCAATGGAAATATCCATGACGAGGATGTGTGTGAATAGTTTTCATTGATAATGTAGGTTTCTCTACGACTAAAATTTAAACGATGTGCCTCGATGAAGAAGATAAGTCGATAGTCTTGGCCGACTCGATGACGTTTCTCTAACAGAATAATTTCTTCCGAGTTCTCGTTTTTAATATACAGTACATACAATTCTATAAAACCTCTTCTTGATCAACGAATAGCTCATTATAGTTGAAGTTTTGCTCTTAAATTTTAATTTATAGCATAAGTAGTCTTTATTCATAGGTAGAGTTCTTGGTAAATGGGATGTGCGAGATCGAATCAATTTTTAAATACTTATTATATGTGTAAATGCAAAAATAAAGTAAATTTAACACCGACCGTATCTTAATTACACCTCAAATGTATTTTAATATTTTTTTCAAACCAAACTACGTTCATATCTCTTAGAAAGAAAATTAATATTTCCTTTTTAACGATTTTTCACTTGTATTCTCCCTCTTAATTACATTACTACAAGTACTTTAGAAGCATTTCGATGGCTATAAATAATATTACAAATATTTCACAAATCTCAATCATATCAAAGGACCTTTTTTAATGAAGGCTTGAAAAGACCTCGAAACCTTCCACACACGGTTTAAGATGATAAGAAATTTAACTTCAGTCGCATCATCCCAATCTCCATTTCAGTACCATCGGCAAAATCTTCGTTGCATTTCGTTCAATCAAGAAGCAATCGCGTCATCGTCCGATTCCTGTGTAATGACCAAGCGACTCAAACCAATCCACGTTTCGTTCTTTTCGAATCCCGCTTTCACGAAACACCTTTTTCTCTTGCGTTTGCGATTCTTCAACATTACAACTCATCGTCGGAGAATTGTTCGAAGTCGTTTGTGCTGCTACCACAGGTCGACGTGACGTCGTTCGACGAGGAATTCGTCGAGTCTGGCGTGGGCGGAAGTGACGGTCTCGCAATGGTTTCCTCCGTCGACGAGGACACATCCGCTTCCTTGCAGTCCACGGTATCCAATCTCTGCTGTATGCACTTGTTTTCTGGATTGTTCAACACCGAATGAATGAAATCACGGGTCTCTGCTCGCAGAGCGTTTACCCTTTTCTGAAGGATGTTGTTCCGCCGGACCAGGGCCATCGTGCGTACAACAATGTCCAGGAGACCTGTGAAATTTGATAATATCTCTTTTAGTGGCTGGTACTTTGAAAGATTCTTTTGCAAGCTTGAGAGGTGATTCCATTCTGTTGAAATGGAACGGGGTGGGTTTAATTATCTTATTACAATGGTCAAAGTTTGTGAAAGGTTGGTTGGAATGATATGAAAGAGTAGAGAGGTGAGAATTTCAGAAGGGAAATTTGGTGAATTTGGAAGAAAAATTTATCGAGTTTAAACTTAATTCAGATCGTGTAAAAATTAACAAATTATTGTAACTATAATCGAGCATTATGGTATTCTTCATTGGAACTTATTCTCGCTTGATATCCATATAGAAGAGGTTTTGGGAAATAAAATATCATGTGGCCAATTTAGGTTTAAAATAGATAAAAAAAAGTTTTTATTCTAAACAATAAATCCTTGTGAAATTCCTATTATAAATCATTCTATTGGATTTGAATAAATTCCCATTTAATAAATACTGATTAGTAAAAATAAAATATAATTCAATTTTATTCGTTATATATTTTCTTAAAATCAAAAATATATTCAATATATACTTCGATTCTTATAGAATTTAATTAAATCTAAATCTATTTCGTGTAAAACTTTTCGATATTTTCTAGAAAATCCAACTAGCAGCATTTGATTAACTCTAGAATTAACTCAGCAGAACTGGCATTATCTGATCTTGAATTTTGACTGTAACATATGTGCTGGCAATTATAAAAGTGATTCAAGCCAAAAATAAAAAAAGAAATTTTATCGCTTATTTCGCGTTACATTCAATCACATTACGATAAAATAGAACTATCTTTGACAAACTAGCAAAGAACGGATTAATCCTTGAAGAAGGATTTACTTGTAAATCCTAACATTTACAATAATCAGGTGATGAAAGCTCGAAAAGAATTTGGGAATAAAGGTAATGTAGTATAATGAATTCATTATATTGCAATACATTCAGTATAATGAACGATTATGCTGAATAATCGCACCTTTCCGTCTCGCCAGGAACACCTTCCAATGTTCTTTTATATCTTCAGGAACTCTGGCGGAAACGTTCGGGGAGGAAGAACTGACGATGATCGGGGCGCAAGAGTCATTGGGACTCTCTGGTTCCCAAAGAGGGCTTTCCGGTGGTGTTAGAGACGCATCGTCGTGAGAAGACGCGTTTCTATCCAGTTGTCTAAATGTTAACCTCTGCTGCTTCGCTACAGCACCGTTGCGAACCCTTTGTCTTCGTCTTGAACACGGGATTGTGGGTGTTCTTACGACTGGCAACTCCGACAAGTAAATAGTCGGAGCCATTTTTCAGATTTCAGAGATCTGTAACCAGAATGGAAAACAAGGGTCTTAATTTTTGATCTCTTACAGAAAATATTCGTTTAAAATGATCAAAGGTAAGAGTTTGATTAAAAATACCTATTTTGGGAATATAAATAAAATTTTAGATATACATATTTTAGCCTTCTGGGTATTTGGATGATTTGTATGTGTCGTTTGATGATAATAATTTCCAGTAAATAAGTAAATAATGTAGTAAATATTTTTTAGTGAGGAATTTATTTATTTATTTATTTAGTGAGTAAAAAGAGGAAAAAATTAAGAATAATTTAATTCAGCGAATAATTTAACTTAGCTTAAGTCAATTAACTTAAAGTTAAGAATGTTGGAGTATAGAGTATTGTAATAAAAACAGCAGAAATTTAAAATACAAATATATTGTAATAGTCTTTTGTGCTTTGTGGGAAAATAAATATACTTTTACTTTTCATTTATAGCTAAATATATAAAAATATACTTTATCGATATAGAAAGTACTTATTATAGTAAATTTGGTTGTTTCTCTAGCAAAGTAAATTAAACTAGAAAGAAAAGTAATAATAAAATAACGAGATTTGATATCTTTCATTATTCAGCAATAAAATTCTATTATTCATCAAATTCACTTTAAATATCTATTCGTAAATTTGGAAATACATTTGAATAATATACACTGAGATGTACTGTACATAAATAACATTAATCAAAATAGCATGATGAAAATGTACAACTACATATAACTAATTTCTATTTCAATAAAAATCTAGTTTTCAATAATTGTAAAAATAAAAATTCTGAAATCGATTATATTTATCACTGCAAGAGATAAAATTACAATTTATACTAATGGATTAAAAACAAGGAAGATACGTTTGATACATCCATGACTAAAATAAAATTATTTTTCTCCAAATCCATTCCTTCAATAACTGTATCTTTTAATGCAAATATAGTGCATTATATATTTTCTCCAGACCATTCATATGCACATGACATATTCGTGGGAATTATACAATCGAAGTATATCCACGTTTACTTAGCTATACTTCGGTTTACTCCTTGGTGAATAGCACGATTTATATGACCATTTGTCGCGGTCACTCCATTCATGAAAATGTCCACGTTTCCACAAACTACGTTTGTACATTATATAAGCTGGTCCTATCGACCGTCGTAATTGCTCTGTCAGCGATATGTAATGATACTAGCCATTTGCGTAATTTAACCGAACAGAGAACAATCGATGACCTACATACGCATCAGCAATGCGCTTTGCTACATGAAAGTGCTTTCATCGACGACTGATCGACGAGACAATGTTGCATTGAAAAATGACAAAGGAATTAAAGCTAATGGTCCAGAATTTAAAGCAAGATAATATTTTGTCGGAATTAATTCGACTTGCTGTAATTGATTGACGCGGAACACCTATTTCATTAAATTTATGATGCAAATTATGATCCAATTGTACAGTTGAACCTAAAGAGAAAGGCACGACGAAAATAAATAGCCATACATAATTTCAATAAACGTCACTATTTCAATACCATTCATTTTTCGAAAAATACATATATTTAGTGTAATCGCAAAATTAAAAATTTTGAAATCAGTCATTTTATGAGTTTTAGTATTAACCCTCAATTGGTATTGAAAAATTATAGATAATCCTAACATGTATGGATTATACAGTTTAATCCTTAAGTAATAATTTTATTTTATTAAATTTTTATTATTTAGAATGTAGAATATGAATTGAAATTAAACAACCTAATCTAAATCTAACTCACATAATTGATATTAGAGTCGAGTACATGTGAAAATTATTTGGGAAGAATTTAAGTTCATTTTTATTGATCTTTTAATTTTGACGTTGCTTGGAGGCTAAAAGGGAATATTTTAATACGACGTAGTTGAAAAAGGGAACGACCTATTAGTTTTACAGGTTGTAAAAATAGATGCTTAACCCACGAGGTTTCATGAGAAACCAAGAGCATAAGTGACCTTACAATAATTAATATTTATAAAAGAAGGGTAGTAAATGCGCGTATTTAATGTTGGAACGAAGTGAAGAGATAGCTTGGCAATATGTCTGACACAAAACTTAATTACTGCTTTCCCTATTTGTTCGCGAAAAGATTGATATGACTATGCTAATCGCTGGACTTAAAAATCATCCCCTGAAAATCTGAATTCGCTGCGAGATTTTACGAGGAATACAGTCCGTGAAAAAATATTTACACACCCTATAAATTAAATATTGTTATAGCTTCACTTTAATAAATTTTATTAATTAAATCCACTTATTCTTCATTAATTTTATTAATTTTATCCACTTATCTACTTATTTTGAGGAAATTTTACTATACAGTACAATTTATATTTCAATAAAAATTCAAGAGTAAAATGTATTGTGAAAGTGTAAACGAGTGTCTTCATGCTTGGCAATTAATCTGATTTCTTTTTTATTTTTTTCCACTTAAACATAGACATTTTTGAAAACCACATTTTACAATATTTACATTTACATTAACACCTGCTGCATCTGCTATATGTATCAAGGCTTCTTTTAATAAAGTACGTCTTTCATTCGGAAAAATCATAGTGTTGTTATACATACAATCATTGTATAAATCATTTACAGACAAAAGTAATTAACTCAATTTTTTGAATTTAAAAAAAATTTAATACCAAAGCACTTGTGATCGATGTTCAACTACTTGTATTTACATAAGTTTTAATTTTATATTGCAAATACAGATGTTAAATTTTGTTTTGACGAGTTAATCGATTCGGCAAATAAATGGCCCACAAAAACAAACTCAAAAGCCTTTTTTGAGAAAGGACGAAATATGTATTTTATATAAATATGTATTTACATCCAATTTTTTAACCTTCCTTCAATGATATAAAATTTCCCTGTATGTATTTTACTATTTGTATCTGATACTTAAATAAGTAAATTCGTATTAACTACTTACACATTATCAAGAATTAGAATAATTACAATGCGCGTAATTAGATAAGATATGCGGCGTAATATTTTCTGAAATTAATTTCTTAGGTGGCAGAAGGGGCCCATTATCTGCATAAAGCTATTTAGAGATGATTTATTATCTTTTTGTCGCGGGCTGTATTTTAGCGCCAGATCGATCATTGGCGTGGAAATATCGTTTCACTTTGTGATCAGGGTGTTATTTATAAACGAAGAACCGAGAGACAAGACTTTCACTTGTTATAAATGTCTAATAATACAGGCACGAGCCGGTGTCTTGCACCTTGACCACATGAGACACGTGTGCACCTGCGATAATGGTCGATGTAAAGCGACTTTAACAGCGTGTGTAAAGATACGCGAAACATTTCAAAACAAAGGCGACTATATGATAAAGAGTCAAGCACGTGGATCATCGCGTCAGTCACATTAACGTTTCTGACTTAATTAATTTAGCGATTGCAATTATTTTTAGCTACTAATGGTAATTCCCTGCGACTCCAAGTAAGTACATCTCTTTCGCTTACATCGCTTTTAGATTACTCGTTTACTTTTGTGCAAATTTCATTACACCGAGAGAAATCGTACATTAAATTATATTATTCTACTACTGTGTCCTTCTTTATTATATATTTATTTTTAAAAAATATGCATTTTTTTAGAATGGCTTTTTACTTGGCATTGTCATTTACTTGATTATTAATTCTTTTTTTTTTATATTTAAAGTAGATTTCTACTTTTTGCTTTGGACTTAATCGATTTGGCAAATGAGTTGTTCATATACGGTTAATAATAATTAATATTATAATTATCAATGTCGTAAAATGATTGGTTTTAGAAAATTCCTTTATACAATTATTGAAAGCGTATAGTTACTTTTAGAAAAATTATTATTCACTCTTATTGAAATAGGAACATTTTTCACTATAGTTAAGTACGCACTAGAGATTGGTAGTTCTATGATATATAATTATAATTTATACAATAAAAAAATATATAAGCATTTTTTATATGTTTGAAATAAATTTCTACTTTCTGTTCAGTAAATATTCATACTACATTAATTAATACTATTTATGTATACTAGATACCCGTTACTAGATCTAGTGTAAAAATAGTATTACGAAAACAATAGAAATAAATATGACGATTCTGTCTGAACAAAAGGGGAAATTAAATTTGGCATACTTTCAGTAACTATAAAAAAAAAGTCTAAAACCAGGCTTAAACTTGAGTTATTTGGTAATTCTAGTATTAATCAAATAACACTAGATGCACTATATACACAAGACAATATAAGGGGAAATTTTTCAATGAAATTTTTTAATAAAAGAAACAAGAAAACTTTGCTACAATTCTACATCATATTTTAACAATTACGTACCATTTTTAATTAACGATTAGCCAAAAAGGAGGAGATCGTTAAGAAAATTTTGCAAAAAGTCCACGTCATTTTTTGACAATCGTATATTATAATTATCCCGACGAATGCACATTCTAGGATACTTTCTCGAGAGCTAACGTACGGAATCAAGGATGTTACGGAGGGAGCAACGTGTGTAGCGTGGTTTGGCTATGAATTACACGTGTTCACTCGTACCGGTTGGGGACGCGATCGATGCAGGCGATGACCTGATTACTCTGAACGTCGGTGCACGTGCCTGCACCGAAATAAAGCAATAGAGCCCTCGACACGACTTCTCGTCTCCCCTCGACCGGTTATGTACCCCGTCTGCTTTGACCTCGGATTTCGTCGCACCACGTGCGACTATGAAACAATACTGATAACCGCTACAAAACACATGCATAATCCGATTGCGGCTGCACCGTTCGTTATGCACTGCAGATGAATGAACGAATTGGCACATATGCATATACGTGTACGTAAAACCTAACTCTACACGTGTAATACTGAAATTAATCTTTTCCAAATATGCAAATCGAATTTTTTTCATCCAAATGGTTAAACTTATACTGTACAGAGTATGTTAATATATACTCGGCACCTTTT